AATAGAATCTGTAATCCCTGAGAGAAAAAATTCTCTCCACTGAAATGAAAAGGGTGTTGGCTAGAGTTAACAGAAGACGGAAAGAAGTGTGAATATTCTGGGCCATATGCAGTTATATTCAAATCATTTTCCAAAGGTTACACAATAAAAAAAGATTTGAGAAAGAAAGGTAGAACGTTACAGACTGCAAAACTTAAGCAAGTCTGTTTTCTCTTCATGCAGTCCTATAAACATGCAATCATTTAAGCTCTGCAGCTTGGACTTTTTTTTAATGTTGGCATCAAGTTTTTAGAATAAAAGCAATTGTATTTTTATTTTGCCAGGTCACTAGTCTGTGAGCTCTGTGATTTCATAAATTTGGCTTCTTTTCAGTTTTTCATTCATCATAACATTTGTCTATAGTGTCTAGCAGGTGATCAAATGCTAAAGCTTGAAGGAATAAAAAAAATCAGATACCATCTCTCATTGGAATAAGTGATCATTTAATATCAGAATCTTTTACCCAATATCAAACACTAGACAGGTAGAGTAGGATTGGGTTGTCTTCACTGCAAATAAATTTTCATTTTTTCATACCAAGCTACATTGAAAGCTCTTGTAAAAGAGTAAATGTTGAGTATATCTTGGTAAATGAGTATTGATAAATGAGTAAAACAAATCCAATGTCACCTGCAGAATTCTATAAGAAACCTGTTTTGCAAAATATAGTCAAGCTCAGAATGGCTCACTATTTCATAAATATAAACCTACCAACTTTTAATAATGCTGATTGTTATTGTTAGTTGTTTTATACAGTGACAAGAGGAACTCCTTGGCCAGGGCAGAGTCAGTACAGAAATGAGACAGTCTTCCTCACTGTAGTCCTCAAAGTATGTGATGGAGAAGGTGAGCTTACCAGGTATTCCAGGTCCAGCCACTTAGTATTTTTTTCAATATACTTACTGCCTCCTTTTTTGCTTATGTAGAGATTTAGGGAGCTTAAAACTATGAATAGGAATATGTACATGTTCACTCGGAAATGTTTCCTTAAATATAACAATCAGTGCACACTGAGGCTGGGATTGAGTTGTTGCCTGCTAAGACCTATGTTCGGCATGCATCACGCAGGTGTTCACTCCACTTTCTTACTGTTACTTGTGAGAATTTGTCTTGACTGTAGACTCATTCCTCACTAGGTAGAGCTGAATGTGTTTTCATTCTGCTAATCAAGGATCACCAGTCATTCTGAGATAGTAGATTGGAAAGATAGCCCCAGAGAAGACAAAGGATAGCTCTGAATTTAGATTGAGAGAAATCTTTACTATGAATTTTTAAAAATCTCACTGATAGATGATAGAACTTTATATTACAAATTCCCATGACATGCTTTGCTTTAGTAAATTAGAATTTAATAATCTTATTGATTAGTGTAATTCAGAGAGCATGACAAGCCTCCCATCCTACTAGTCGGACAGTCTGTTCTCTTTTTTTACCCACAGTCTAAGTTCCAAGTTGTTTTATATGACATTTCTGTTAGAGTATGTGGATGGGTTTGGAAAGTTGGGTACTGGACCCGTGATGCACAGCATATGTATGTGATGTGTCTGGGGACCAGAGGTTTCCAGCTCAGCAGAGAACCATTGACAACTCTGTTTACTTGGTCCCTTCATTCTCCTCTTGTTCACATGATAAAAGGGACACCGCCTTGTAGCCTTCTGAATCCTAGAACCCAGACCGTGGTCTATCCCAGGACCCTACATTATTTGTTCTTGTATTAGTCAGATTTTTCATCAACATGACCAAATACTTGACAAAAACAACTTAGAGGGAGAAAAAATGTATTCTTGGCTCAAGGTCTTAGAGGGTTCAGTCCATGGTTGTTGGCCCCCCTGCATTTGGCCAGGGCATGGTAGCAGCAGGAACATTTGAGAAAGCTTTTCCCCCGTGGGAGACTAGATGCATAGAAAGACGTATAGCAAGGTGCCAGGATGAGATATCTCACAAGGACACGCCTCAGCGACCCGCTTCTAGTAGGAACCACCTCCTGATGTTTCTACTCCCTCCCAAAATAGAACCACCAGCTGTGCTCCAAATGAGCCTGTGTGAGCGACATTGCATATTCAAACCAGAACAGCCCTCTTTCTCTTCATACCTGTTCAGCATCATTCTGTCCCAGAGCCCCTGGCCTTCATCCCTTTACGCTTCTCTACTTATCACCATGGACCTTTTACCTGACTACAGGTGTTTGTACAAATCAGTCACTTTACTAGAATGAAATACAGAGATCAAGGAATATGCATCGTTGTGTTCTTGGGACCTAGGACAGTCCTTGGTTCAGAGAGGGCTAACTAAATGAATAGCCAAAGCTTGTTTAAACAGTTGGATGGGCTTGTGTACTATAGGACTTTTCAGAATTTTTACCAAGCCAGTTCATACATTGAAAGTAGCACATGTTATCAATACCTAGTAGGTTTTTTGCTTCTGAATGACATTTCAAAGTGCAGAGAAAACCATTGTCAGCTGAGCAAAATGAATTTATAGGCATCTTTCTCCCCTTCTCTCACCTCCTTTCCCTTCTCCTTACCTTGTTTCCCACGTTGACCTCAAACTCCCTATCTTCCTGCCTCAGCCTCCTGAGGGTTGACATTATAGTTGTGAGCCACCACACTTATCATTTTTCTTCAAAATGCAAAGGATGGAGGATTTGCATCAAAAGATGGTAATAGTGTAGTAATTACAGTAATTACAAACATGTCAAATGTGTGCCATTTTTCTTTAACTAGGAGAAGAAAAAAAGAGATTAGGGTTTCTTATTCCAACCCTGCATTCCCCATAACTAACCACCAGTTCTTCCCTATGAGTTTTCAAAGAGCCCAGTCCTCTGGCTGGATATCAAGTCCTGACCTTAACACACAAAAACCTCACATCATGACTGGAAGTGGGAGCTCTAAAGATGAATGTGGTGAATCCCTATGGCTGCCGGTTCTGTGCAGGGCAGCATGCTATGCCAAAGGGATGTGGGCACACTGAGCTTTGCTACCATTGTTAGCTGAAAGTGCCATGTTGGGACTTGACTTGGCTTGGATGTGGCTTGAACAAAGGGTAGTTAATTATAGAAAATGTCACCAGGCTATGGGGAGAAGGTTCAGCCTTTAGTAGAGCCCTGGAGAAAATACTGTGTGTGAGCCTCCAGTCAGCTTGTAGATGACACAGTGAGCTTGAGCTTGACCTTGTCCTCCTGGGAAGGGAGATAAGTTCCAGGGAGAGATTCCAAACTTAGGATTACAATACAGAGAATGGGGTAGACTTAGAGGAGCTGGAGCTAAGTGAGTTTGAAAGCTTTCCTTTTTGCTTAGCAAATAGGAAAAATTATCCTGGTTCTCTCCAACCCCTACCCCAGGTCCAACAGATTCTGGTCCTACAGAGTCTAGTTGCCCAAAGATGGGAGAGCTGGAAAATAGTGAAATGGGAACACTGATGAATGGTCTCAGATTCTGATTCAACCTCTCTCAGCTGCTTGCTCAGATGAACTTTTGCTGCCAGTCCCCCTCCTTGACGTAGAAGGAGTGTTGGGAGCAAGGTCTGATGCTAGAATGCATCTTAATTAGATTCCCAGGATTCAGATTCCTGAAGTCTGGCCCAGCAGTTCCCAGTAATAGCTATTCTGGAGAAGTTTCTGCAGAGCTTTTAAAACCTACTATGTGCTACTTTGTCTTGGCTGGCTGTTCTTGGAACCCAAGGCATTGCTATTTCTCAAAGGTCCTCAGGTGATTCTGACATGCTGCTTGGGCAGGGAGCTACTGTCCTCAACGTGAAGTCATGCACCACAAGGTTGCTGTGAAATCTCACAGCAAATCATACCGTGGTTATCTGGGTATACTCGCCTTCAGACTGACTCATCAGAACCTAACAGAGCAGAAACTGTGATTCTTCCTTGTTCATGCACTGTTTTGCAGAGACTTGGGCAATGATATGGGGAGGTGGAGCACGCAGGGGCTTGTGTTACCATACCTGGTTGGAATGTACCCTCCATGAGTGAAAATGCACCATCACCAAGGGCACATTTGCTCTTTGTATTTTTGCCTCTGCTGACAGACTTAAACTCTAAAAGCAGATTCCACCACCACACTTCCTCTCTTCTCCTGTATAACACTCCTCAGTGGCTTTCCACTGTCTGCAAGGAAGACATTGAATTCTGTAACAGCTGAGGTTCCATGGCCCCATTTGCTCTGTCTCATCTCTGACTGTACCCTGCATGTTGGGGGCTTGTTTCCTGGCCTGGAACCCTGGCATTGTCCCCTAAGGGAACTGTTGTCCTTACCGCCCCAACCAGATTGTGTCCCCCGGTGGTTTATTTCACTTAACATGATCCCTCTCCTTCCATCCTGTTTCACTTCTTGAATTGCTTCACTGAATCACATGGGTCTCTATGAGACTTCAAGCTAGGTAAAGAAAGGAATTGTGCATGCATGCAGTGTGGGACACCTGTTTTATTGGGTAAATGAACATACCTTTTATGCTATATAAATAATGCCATATAGCATTCTGTTATATCACATAAGTCATACATGCTATAAACCATAGAGGCATAGGACTTGAGTGGAGTAGGGCCAATGTGAGGGGACCAGGTTATCATCTTGTTGATTCTGTCTGAGTATTCCACAGTATTCCTCCTTCCCTCTTCCCCCTGATTTATCTAAACTTCTAAACAGGGTATCTTGATCTGGTAGCTTTTCTTGAATGTGTATCTACTGTAGACCATCTTGTGTTGGAGGAGAATAGGGAAAAGGGGCAGCAGGGGAACCAAGTGCTTAAATACTGAGCTTCCCTCCACCTTGGACCTCACCTTCAGAGTGAGTCTCTCTGAAGAGCAACCATGGGTAACGTGGTTCCTTGAAGGCCCGCGAAAACTCCTGCCTCTCTAGTTGGCCCGACATTTATCTGGGCACAGAAGAAACTGCCTGCTACTGCTCTGTCTCAGGTTTTGTGTTCTGATGGAGTAAACATTTACAGCCACCAGATGAGGGAAGAATGCCATTGTGGCCAGGCAAGGCAGAAGGGGTCCTGCTATGCTGTGTAACACTTTGCAGTGAAGTAAACTCAAGTAAGTATGGCAACACTATGGTACACAGCAGTATCCGTGTAAACAGGTGTTTGTTACATTATTCTCTGTGGTTTACCCTCTTTAATCTAGTAAAGATAGACACAGGTACTACATACTCGGATACATGTTGACTTTGCAGTTCACCATGTTTCTCCTGACTAGATAGTATTTGCTTTCCATTCCCACATGATATAAAGTGGTTAAAAAAAAAAGTGGCAGTAGCGAGGTGGACAAACATTAGAGAGCAAATCAAAATACCGTGAAACATGGATTTAGGTAGCATTTTAAAATAGTTTATTGATGACTGGGTGTTGGTGATTTATACCTGTATTTCTGGCTACTCAGGAGGGTAAGATCTGAAGATTGTGGTTTGAAGCCAGCCCAGGCAGGAAAGTCCATGAGACTTTTTTTTTTTTTTAATTGTGAAACTACCTTACAGAGGGGTTATAATTACATGGGCAAGGTAATGAGTACATTTCTTATCAAGCATTGTTGCCTCCTCCTTTGTTTCCCCTTCCCATCCCTTCCCATCTCCCCTTCCCCCCCCCCCCCCCTTCCACATCCCCTGTGTTCCCCCCCACCCCACCCGCCAAAGTTGTAAAGTTTATTTTTCCACGTAAGGTCTTGTACATCTCATTGTTGCAATGGGTCCACCTGTATCCCTATTTAAACAATGTGTTTTTTCCCTTCCCCTCCACAAATTATATCAACATCAAATACAGTGAAAACAGGGGCTATACCGTGGGGGAGGGACATACAAAGCAACAGTCCATGAGACTTTTATCTCCAGTTAACCAGCAAAAAGCCAGAAGTGGGAGTGTGGCTTAAGTGGTAGAGCACCAGCATTGAACAAAAAACTTAGGAACAGTGGCTAGGCCCTGAGTTCAAGCTCCAGAACTGGCACATAAACAAAAAAAGTGCATTGATTTTTATTATGGGAAAGATAATTTGCTTATTTATTGCAAACCTGTTTAAAACTCAAGTATATGTTTAAAACCTCACTATATTCTGCGCTTTCCAAGTATGTGTGTTTTATTTCATTTTATCCTGTGCATTACATGTGTGTGTTTACCTATGTGCATAAACACATTCACACATACAGCATATATGTGTATATATACATATATATTGTTTAAAATTAACAAGTAGGATCAGACACTCAATTCTGGAACTCCTTTTGTTATGAATTGACATATCATGATACTGTATACATTTTTATTTTAAATTCTCAAAAATTTTTGGACTCCAGCATAATTTCTTCTCTTCTTTTTTTATTTTTTTTTTGAGGCCGTGGGGCTTGAACTCAGGACCTGGATGTTGTCCTTGAGCTTTTTCGCTCAAGACCAGCACCCTACCACTCTGAGACACAGTTTCACTTCTGTTTTCTTGTGGCTAATTGGATATAAGAATCTCACAGACTTTCTTGGCTGGCTTCAAACCATGATACTCAGACCTCAGCCTCCTGTATAGCTAGGATTACAGGCATGAGCTATCACTACCTGGCTACAGCATGATTTCTTCATCCCTCCTTCAGCAGTATGGTTTATGTTGTCTGTTTATTCAAATGCAAACACATGCATTGACTTACAAAATATTATTTTTAAGCAGCCCAAAAACCTACTAGCATTTGGTTGTTTCTTCGTGTCAGTTAATGGACATTAAGTAGGTAACCTGGTGGCTAGATGCTACCTTATAGCTTCAATTTTTTAAAAGCTTGGGAATGCCTCAGGAGAGGTTTGAAAAGCTGGCTTCTAAAGAACTTAGCCCTCCTGACATTTCCTAGCAAGTTGCCTAGTACATGTAGTCCTTCAGCAAATGCTGGATATTGACTTGCTATGTCTGGGGCCTTGTTCCTGTCCAGATGAAGCACAGCAAAAGCTCTCAGGCTGGGCTGGGTGCAGTGAGGTCTGGTAGTAGAGTGATGTTGGCACCAAGTGGACATTGAGATAGGGGGAGCTGACTCTTCCCCTACTGCCCATGAGGTATGGAAACAGGCCCTACTCACCCCCCAGTTCCCAGAATCCTAGTGTTTAGGGAGCCCTGAAGCAGACCACAAGGTCTTTGCAGGCAGTAGTTTAGCCTGAGTGGCTGTATACAAGACATTGGTAAGGACTTGGGCCCGATGCTCTTCTTGAGAGACTGGTTCTTTCAGGGCCCAGTTTTTGTACACATGAACCTTTCCAAACCCTCAGTCCCCATTGAAGACCCCATATATCCACGACACACTTCCAAAGAGGGGAAGCAACAACTGAGCTGAGAAGCTGAGAAGGGAGCCTGGCAGACCACCCCTCTCTGTCCTTTGTGGTGGGCAGGCTGGGCGGGGAAGGAGTCTCTAGACATCTCAGCCCAGTGGAAGTTGTAGAAGTCACATTGGAAATTAAGCTTTTGGTGAAAATGAGAACACCCTAGTTGATATTGTATGTCGTGTGATTGATAAGGAGATGCTTTGACACTGCAAGTGCGTGGTCCATAGGCTCATCCTTACAGATGAGAAAAATGGGGCGGAGAGAGCTATTCCTGACAAGGGGAGGGGCTATAGACACTTAGCCCCAGTGGAAGCAGTGGGCAGCTCCAGGTAGGGAAGCTGATGGGCAGCACAGTTCTCTAGCTTTCCAGCCAGCATAGGCATGGTACTCCTGCCCTAATCCACCCTGCTTTTAGAGCATGGATGAGGTGATTCTCAGGTGAGACTCTAACCTAACTGAGCAGAATCAAAGATTCCTCCAACAAGACTGGTTCACACTGAGATGATTTGATAAAGCTTTAAAACTGTAATCCTAGCTATTCAGGAGGCTGAGATCTGAGGATCGTGGTTCAATGCCAGCCTGGGCAGGAGATGCTTTATCTCCAATAAGCCACTAGAAAACCAGAAGTGGTGCTGTGGCTCAAGTGGTAGAGCTCTAGCGTTGAGCTGAAGACCTGAGAGACAGCACCCAGGCCCAGAGGTCAAGCTCCATGACCAACAACAACAACAACAAAAAAAACCCAAACTATAACCCAAGCTATAAAACTTCCCAAAAGCCAGGTGAAGCCCGGCAATGATGTTCAGGGCCAGAACACGAAAAGGCACACAAGGAATGATCAGAGCAGGTGACAGAATAGACAGAGGTCAGAAGTCCCGGTCATCTGTTCCACAAAGTAAGCACATCTGTGTGAGCGAGGGGCCAGCCCTGGGTGGCACCTTCATCCATGTTCACTTGTCTATGGCATGTATCCCAGGAGAGTAAGGTGTTCCACGCCAGCACTTTTCTGTCCAGACTTGCATACAGCTCACTTGACTTGTCTCTATTCTCTTTATTCTTCCCTAGCCACAGTGGCCCCTCTGTTGAAAAAGGCCAGGGCACTGCCCCTGTGACCTGGGGGTCCCAGTGTCATAGTCTTGAGGACAAGTTCAGTGGACCCAGGATTCTAGGGCCCAATGTCCTTTGGCACATGATACACATTGCTGTCTTTAGAAGGGAAACCTGAGTCGTCACCTGGGATAAATGGCTCTCCTTTCTCTTCTTTCTGGAGTGGCATACATTAAACTAGAAGGAGGCACCACAGAGTTTCCAGTAGTCACAAGCTTAGCCTAGCCTAGTTCACTGAGGTTCTTTGGAGACCAAAGGATCTGCATCATCTCAATTCATCTTCATGGTCACCCTGAGGGACAAAGGCCTAGGGTCAGAGATGAGACACGGAACCAAGTCCAGAGTTAGCAAGTGGTGGGACTGGAATTCTGACTAAGCCTAGAACTCTGCTTTGTGCTGTGCTGCCTGTAATAAAGGATAGGAGGAGGAGAATTGCTGGAAACAGGACATCTGGCTTCGGGGGGTATGGCAGAGCTCTGGTAACCCTACTTGAACACCTAGTATCTGTACACAAGAAAATAAAAGTGTTTGTTTCTATGAATATATCTTGTGCAATATTTGAGTCATACGGAAAGTTATTTATTGTTTATCTGAAATTCAAACTTAGCTGGAATCCGGTATTTTTGTTACTTTTTTTTATCTAGCAGCCTGAGCTGGGGACTCAAGGAAACACTGGGTCTACATGTGGGCACCTGAGGGTGTATCACAAGACCCTGTAAAAGCACAGGAATCTTCGTAGGTGGCAAGTCCCTGTCACAGGTATTCAGGTAGGGGATAGAGAACTGCTAGGTAGATGATGTGGACGGACTTTGGGTCTCAGAGTCTGGTGCCATTGTGGAGAAGGAGAATTGTCATCTTCCTGTATTTGTGCTGAGCTCTGACCATTCGGGTCAGGAAGCTGTCTCTCAAGTTGTCTACCATCAGCAGGTGCTGAGTACCAGCCTTCCCTGTCCAGATTTGATGGCTAGCCTCAGTCACTAGTGGAAACCCATCAACTCTGTGGGTTGTGTTTAAGTTGTCTGTCTATCTGGCTAGGAGTGCCATGTTAAAAGTGAAATAAAACACACATGTGACTCTCTCTTGCTGAGAATTGACAGTAACTTCCTGGTTCTTTATGTGTCCTCCGTAGATACAGATTCTGGGACAGATGGAGGACCAACTGATGTCCCCACGTCACTTATGGCTTGGACCATGATAACCATGAAAAGTACCTGTCCACAAGGTTCTGCGCAGGCCCTGTCCAGCAAGTAACTGAGGCAAGAAGCACAGGTGTTTGTTTGCTCTTTTTGAAAAATTTTTGTTAATTTTTCATTTTTTTGTTAGCATGTATTAATTGTACAGAGGGTTTTGATTATGATGTTTTCATATACACATAGATGTACTTTGATCAAATTCACTCCCTCTGTTGTTCCCCTCCCCCATCTTAAAGATAATTTTAAATACGGTTCTATTTTCATAAATATTTATAAAGTACTTAGACTCTAGTCATCCCCCTTCATCCTGTCTTCCTGCCCTTCTCTTCTGCTTGTATCCACCCTCAAATAGCATGTTTTACATTCCTGTCACTATACACATACATATATGTATATAATATATATATATATAAAACACATATTGCATATATGTATTATATATATATTATATACATATATGTATAAATATAATGACAATGTCTGGGTGCTGTCCCTGAGCTATTGCCCAAGGCTAGTATTCTACCACTTGAGTCAAAGCTCCATTTCTGGCTTTTTTGGTAGTTAATCAGAGGTTAAGAGTTTTGCAGACTTTTCTGTCCAGGTTGGCTTCAAACAGATCCTCAGATCTCAGCCTCCTAAGTCACTAGGATTATAGGTATGAGCCACTAGTGCCTGGCCTTGTCATATTTTTAAGGACTAAATTCCACATGTGTGAGATTCTCTAGGTGTAGCTCTTCCTTATTAGCCAGTTTGCATTCTAAGCCCAGCCTGCTGTAATTCCCTCAACACAGCTCTGCCCTCTGCATATTTCCCCAGCGTAAGTCTAGTTCCCTGACAGGCCTCCAACTGACTCCCTGCTTCCTGATCATTATGACAATGGCAAAATCTTACTCTAGCTTCCAAAAAGAAACAAGGATGCTGTTCTCTTATTGTCATTCCCCTCCACTGGGGTGTTTCAAATTGATTTAGTTATTAAGTATATCCTTTCATATTATTAATTAAATATGAAATGTTAAATGCCAAGTCAAAATACTCATTAAAGTGGAAAAAATATATTTGTATTGGTTCTATTTATTGACTTCACCTCTTTCTATTCATGCTTCTTGTTTAATTGGTTGACCTACAAGTGGCACAGGCCTTTCACTTGTGTTTTCCAGGAAGCCTCGTTGAATGGCTTATATTTGACAACATGCACCACCAGTGGCTTCTGTTGGCCGCATGCTTTTGGGTGATTTTCATGTTCATGGTGGCCAGCAAGTTTATCACCTTGACCTTTAAAGACCCAGATGGTAAGTATGCTTGGGAGGAACAGATTTTGCTTATTGAGTCCTGGCTCCAACGCTGTTCCCCAGGTAGATACACAGTGACAGCTATCCCAGGACTGAAAGATGCTTGGCTTCCATGCATTCAGGGCACAGAGATGGAAGAGAGAGGTGGGAAGGGATCTCCTCTAAAGGGCAAAGGCACTTTGTGGCTTATTGACTGAGAAGCAGAGAGCAGGGCTTCTCCCAGTAGCACCAGCACAGGCTTCATACAGCAAATTATGTTGCAGGCTTCAGTTTGGAAATCCACTCTGCCTCATGTCATCATGAGAGCCATAACTGCTCAGCATGCCTGTGTGCCAGCAGGTGATACACATTTGAAGGTCACCTTCAGTGCAGCGAAAGAGGTTCATTTAAATATATATTGTCAGGCTATCCTGGGAGATTCTTAACTCCTCTTTACTGAACATAGGCATTCAGATGAGGACGTATAAAGAGCACCAGAACTCATCTTAGACATTTGCTTTTGTGCACCTCCATGTTTCTTCTACGAAATGGATGCTCTTCTCTTTGCCCTGAGAGCCTGCTGGAGGGGCAAGTGATCTGTGTGATAGTGTTCTTAACTCCTTCTGCCACTTCCTCTGGGGCCAAGTAGATAATCCTGGGGAAGTACAAAAAACACATGGGAGTTGCAGGGCCAATCATTACTGGCTGCAAATTGGCCTCATCCCCTCCACCCCTGCCGGAGAGGGAGCTCTTGGGAACTGAGACACATGTGAGCACCATATCTTTTCTCTGCATGGTGCTTCATATAGCCTCCTGCTGTTGCAGTGCATGACAATGCATCCACACCAGCACTATTCCCAGTTTAGCCCTGGTGGCTGCACCAGCCTGTGTTTTCAGTGAGATCCAAGGGCTCAGGCTCCTGATACGTACTGTAGAGCTCCTGACACATCCCTGCCTGTTCCAAGGGTCACCCAGTGCTCACACCTCCTCTCCGTCCTCTCTGCTCTAACTGCCTGTAGAGGAATGAGGGTGGAAGGCAGATATGCAGAGAGAAGAGAGAAACCCTGAAATTGACCCAGGTGACTTTCTTAGCTCTATGATTTGTACTCAGAGATAGTTATCAGGCTTATAGCTTTGTTCCCTTCTGGTGGCCATCAAAAGAACCCCCTTAGCTGGGGCACTGTAGTTCACACCTGTAATCCTAGCTACTCAGGAGGCTGAAATCTCAGGAAGGTAAGATCTGAGGATCATTGATTCAAAGCCAGCTTGGGCAGGGGATTCTTATCTCCAGTTAACTAACCTCCCCCTCAAAAAAAACAAAGAAATGGAGCTTTGGCTCAAAGTAATAGAGAGATAGCCTTGAGCACAAATGCTCAGGGACAGTACCCAGGCACCAAGTTCCACTCCAGGAGTAGCATGTGCGCACGTGTATGCACACACACATATCCCTCTCATCTTCCAGGAGCTTTTGGGATGAAGCCAGTGAGGTTTGTACAGTCTTCGGAAGTGGTGATACACCCACTATATTAGGTTTACACCAAGGACTGAGGAGGCTCTGTCCAAAGGGCCAGGGTCAGTCTTGGAGGGTGGTTGTATTTGAGATGATGTGTGGCAGCTGGGGGAGAAGGGTTGCAGCAGTGGCACACACACAGATATGGGATGGTCACAGGCCATCAACAGTGACAACTCTTGGGAGGACTGAGGGATTCTCCCCAGAGGGCACTACAGCATTTCCTGCACAACTGTCCCTGCACAAGTCCGCTGCTGCTTGAGACCGATCGTACTTGACTCTTCTGGAGTGGGGTCCAGTTGAGAACCAGAAATGTAGAATGGCTGAGCAACTGAAGAGAAACAAATTAATTCTGATTCCTCCATGTGTTGCCTCTTGGTGCGGAAGGTGCTAAAGAGCAGGACATAAGGTTAAATTGTGGTTTACTTTGGTTAAAAAGTGGGATCTTACTGTGTATTTTAGTGGAGCTTCCATCAGTAATAGTTAAATAATCTGTAGTCCTAGCTACTTGGGAGGTGAAGGTTGGAAGATCACATGAGCCCTCAAGTTCAAGGACAGCCTAGTTGACATAGACCTCAACTCAAAGGACAATAACAACAGATAATCAGTTAAATAAAACCCACCCCCTTACATTTTAACATTCTGTAGCAGAAGAGTTTTTAAAGAACACCTCTTTCCTACTGGGGCTTGATGGATAGTGTTAATATGCTGGGATGTGCATGTTTTACATTGCATGTTCTCGGAGAGGCACAGGTGCTCAGGGTGATTTTGTGAAGAGAGCACAAGTTGAAGAGGGGCTGAAGGTAAAGCCATAAAGGAGGATGATGTATTTTAGGATAACATTTAGGATTTTAACATGTCCTGAGCAGCTTCTTCCAGCTCTCTTCTCTGGAAAAAAAGAGCTCTAGTCTAGAATCCCAGCCAGTGGATGCCACGTTTTCTTCATGTCTGCCATGTTTGTGGTGATTTGACCTGACACCAGAGCCAGGGCACACAGCAGCTATGTTTTCTTAAATTGATGGGAAAGCACCAACTTGACTGTTGATATTTTTGTGACAGTTGTAGAGTGACATGCAATTGGAAGAAACACCACAGAGGAATCCTGAGTTATTTTATTTCCCCCGTTTCCATAAGTGTAACCTCTTATACTACAGTGCAATACCACAAGTGGGGTGCTGGCTTGGATGCAGGCAAGCTGTGGAACATTTTCATCATTACTAGGAGCCATGATTCAGGCTTTTTCTTTTTCTTTTTTTTTTTTACTGTTGGTTTTGTTTGAGGCATGATGTCACTATCTAGTATAAGGTGGCTCCATCCTCCTTTGCTCTGCCTCCAAAGTGCTGGTGTTTGGGGCACTACTGTGTCTGACTGTGTTTTCCTTTTTAACCACTACCCCATTCCCAGACTCTGACAACCACTAATCTGTTCTCCTGTAATGAATTTTGTCATCTTAAGGCAAACAGTTCCTGACTTTTTTGGCTTGCTTTGCTCAACACAATTTCCTGGAGATTTGTCCAACTTGGTACTACCATCAGTTGGTATGGGACTTGAACTCATGGCCCTGGGATTTTGCTGATTAATTGGAGATAAATGTCTCATGGATTTGTCTGCCAAATTGGCTTTAATTCTCGATAATCAGATCTCAGCCACCTGAGTAGCTAGGGTTGTCAGTGTGTGCCACCAGGGCCCAGCTCTGAGTTCATTTTTTAATAAGGTGAACTTTAGATAAATGTTTATCTATTGTCGCAGCTCTCATTTGTTCAAAAGACTGTTCTCTGGCTGAGTTTCCTTCACATTTCTGTGAAAAGTCAGCCATGCATCTTTTGTGTGGGTTCTTTCCTGGGTTCCCATTCAGTCCCGTCGATCTGGAGCCTTTTTCTGCACGAGATGACGTCTTAACCTCTTGTCTTTTAGGGTACAGTGCCAAACAGGAGTTTTTGTTCCTAACAACTTTACCAGAAGCAGGGAAGTTGCCAGAAGAGAAGCACTTTCCTGAGGAGCTACAGGTGGGCACACACCTGTTCCCTCTGACATGGATGTAACACTTCAGAGGGAGCGCTACACAGTGTTCCCTGACCTCTGGGGATAATTTCTTCCACCCGCCCTCACCAGCAGTGGTTTTCACTCACCATTGCAGCCTGCTTTAGAATCCAGGTTGAGAATCATTAATTTGAAAATCTGAAATCTAAAATGTTCTAGAATCTGAGATTTTTTTTTGGTCAGTGACATAATGCCACAGCAGAAAATTCCATACCATGGAAGTTTCATTTGTGTGCTGAAAATTACTTAAAATATTGTATTGCTGGGTACTGGTGGCTCACGCTTCTAATCCTGTCTACTCAGAAAGCTGAGATCTAAGGATCTTGGTCTGAAGCCTGCCCTGCCTGAAAAGTGCATAAGGCCATTATCTCTAATTAACTACCAAAAATCTGGAAGTGGAGCTCCGGCTCAAGTGGTAGAGCACTAACGTTGAGCAAAAAAGCTCAAGGACCACACGTAGACTCTGAGTTCAAGCTTTAGGACCACACACACACACACACACATACACAAAAAAAGTGTAAAATTACCTTACACTGTGATCTATTTCTCGTTTAGACTTGAGTCCCACCCCCTCCCCCACCCCATATATCACATTATGAAGATACTAGTATCCCAAAGTCCAAAAGAGTTTGAGATCCCAAGCATTTTGGATAAAGGATATTCTACCTGGAGTAGCTTTTGCTACTTCTATGTATTTCTGTATTTCTTCATCCTCCGTGTGGTAGGGACAGTGATCATAGTTATTTTAGTTTGGGTAGTTGGTGGTACTGAATTCCTGACCAGCTATACACGGGCCTGGTGAGGACAGCAGAACATGTTGAATAATATCAGGAGAAAACCTGGAATATGTAATGATCTCTGACCCAGAATGGAATTTTGGAGTGCGAAAGGGCTTTGGGCAGCAGAGCAGATGATTCAACCTCTGAACTGTATACACAACAGAACTGAATCCAGAGAGTTGGATGGGCAGAGCCCAAGGCAGCCCCAACTCTTGCCCACTTGCACACTAACTCCACATTGACCTCTACAGATTCCTTTTGCACATAAATTTCTCATCATCGCCTGTCCAGGACAAGGGTTACACATGAAGATCCCTCTCCTACTCATACTGAATCTGGAAGCTGGTACTTACCATTGTCTAGAAGGGGCAAAATGGGCCAAGCAAGCCCTAAAGATGTTTGTTATTCCAGAATTAAACCAGGGAAAGGGGAAGTTTTTGTGTGTGGTTTACAGTATAGAAAGCATCCCTGGTTAGAGTAGAAAGTTTTTGCAAGTCCTTTGACAAGACATTAATGTGATAGGGATCAAGTCTGCAGGACTCTTAAGATGACCAGGAATGCTGCTTGTAGGTTGAGAAAAGAATTTGAATAGATTGAAAAAACAAGAAACTAAAATCCTACAGAAAAGAAGAGGAAGGCTTTAATGAATTTAATATGAGTAAATGTATAGTTGCATGGGTAACAGCACAAAGGTGCCATCAACTCTCTGCAGAATGCTTTTTAGACAAGGGCTTACCAGTGTACTGCAGCCTGTGGTGGTCACTCAGATACCAGATGCTCTCCCTGTAAAAACTGTGGTCCTGTAGGAGACATCATGTTCTTTGTCCTCCTGGCTGTCTAATGATTCTCATACAACAAGCTGCCAGGTGAAAGACCAGAGGAGCCACTGTCACATGCAATATTCTCTGGAGTCAAGAATCAATGCAGTGAAATCTAGTGTATTTTCCCATGAGAAAGGTGATTTGTTAATGGAAGAGGGTTCTGTAAGTTCTCCTTTAAAAGTTTATTATGTGCATTATGAGTCTGAATGTTTGGTGAGAAAATAGTAGAAAATACTGTCAATCTTTAAACCTCATTTGTATATTTTCCAAGAGGAGGGAACACAATTGAGTAAGAAATTAATTCTTTATCTTTTGTGCTTGAGCTTGAAGAAAAGCATGATTTGCAAATGATGGAGTCTTTCTGTGATTTCTGAAGAACTTCTCTGAAAGTGCCATTCCATGGTGCACTGTCTCTAAGAGCCATCCATGATCTGGGTTAGGTTTTAAAATTTTTAAACAGAGTGAGAAGGGAAATGCTCTCAGGTTAGGTGAGCAAGAGGTAGAAAGGATGAGGGAATTCCTTGGCAGAGTAAAGTGAATCCCCCGTTTGCTATAAAAAGGGAAGGTGCTGGGTGTAACGTTCCAGCGTGCTGTGGTGAATGCAGCTGGCAGGTGATGCTGGTGCTCACATGGTAAGGGGCAGAGGCAGCTCTGTGGAAGACCTGCTCATCCTTCCTGGATGGTTTCATTTCAGGAATAGGCTATTAGGAAGCCCCAGGACAATGTTTCCTCTACTGGTTATTCAGAAAATGAAGCTAACCTCACACAGACAAAAAAGTGACCTGGACAAACATTCTGAATGCGTGTGTCTATGTGTGTGCTGGGGGGTAGGAGTCTAGCCTTGACAGATCCAGGAAGGAAGGAGAGACAGTGGTGAGTGCATGCCATAGTGTGTTCTACAAGGCCTTTGTCCAGGAAGGGTGGGCTGTTACAAACTACCCTGTGGAAAGATTGTCTGACAAACCTGTGCATTTAGGTGAGTGTAGAGGGATCATGTGTTTTAAGTATGGATGTTTTAAAAAGAAAAAAGTAGAGGGATCTGCAGAAGCATTTCACAGTGCTGACCAACAGCCACAGCTCACGTTGGAGGACTAGCCGTGTGATTTTAGCATACTTCTTGGAAGACTTGGCAGACACGCTATCATAGCATGAATAGTGAGACATTTTAACTCACGGGCACAAGCTCATGTAACAATTTCTGTGTGTATACACATGTGTACATGTGTACAGCCAAGGCTTTCCCAAGTGTCTACAATACCCTGTGTCTGGCCTCAGACTCAGCAGAAGCTGTGGAGCAAATGGTCCTGCCACCCAGAAAGCACTGGAAGCTGTAATTGAGCTTCAGCCAAAAACCTCCTAAGTTGTAGCTATTCTCTGTGGTTCTGGAACAGCCACAGAGGTTGTAGGCCACCATTTGGAACTTGAATATTCTCATCTTCATTGGATTTCAAATCAATATTCTCCCAAGAAGGAAGTCACAGTAGCCTTATAGCACCTATTTTTCCTGGCCATCAGTGCTAGTCCATCTCTGTAACTCAGGGCAATGGATGTGCCCTGAGAAAGGTCTGGGAAGGAGGCTGAAAGTGGTGGTTGTCACTGTAGAAAGGGGAGGAGATCTGCTCAGGTCTGTCATATTACTGGTTTCTGTCCTATTTCTTTACTGCCTGTTTTGTTCCTGTTGTTTGCAGACAAGTGGGAAGATGCTGCCAGAGAGCCAACTTGATCAACCCCTGGTGTATCTGGAGCGTCTGGAGCTCATGAGAAATGTGTGCAGGGATGAGGCCCTGAAGAATCTCTCACATACTGCAGTGTCCAAGTTTGTCCTGGATCGGATATTTGTCTGCGACAAGCACAAGATTCTTTTCTGCCAGACTCCCAAAGTTGGCAACACCCAGTGGAAGAAAGTGCTGATTGTCCTAAATGGTGTGTGGCACTTAGTGAATATCCGTCTGTGACATGGAGGGTTTGCCTGGGCAAGGGAGGGGATAATTTCTCCTGAAAAGAGAGGCAACCTCTTAGAAGATTCTCTATTGCTTTCCTGTTAATCTTCTGTAAAAGCTGGGGTAGGGATAATTCTTATTTTGTTTTATTTTTTTGGTCCTGAACCTAAGACCTTGCATATGTGAAGCAAGATGTCTACCACTGAGCTATACCGTCAGCCCTTGGTGGGATTAATTGTCAAAGGCATTTAGACAAAGTTAGGATGTCCTGGGTTTTCACAGTGCAAGAAGCTTGTTTGCCCGTGTTGAACCTTTATATGATTCATTTTGGTCCCAATAGGCCCATGCATTGTTCAAGTGCATCAAGGCTCCTGACTCCCGGAAACAGCACAAGTCTGTCCTCATGGTGCCCCTCTTTAGGGAGAGGTGCTCACACTTTAGAGCCTAGGAGGACAGCCCCACCTCATGGGTCTCAGGCCTCTTCACTTGCCAACCACGTAGCCCATTGCCAGTTGGGTTCTGCTAAGCATCTGTTGTTCCGGGAAATCTGATGTTTACTGGGGAACAAATGAGATCACAGGAAAGTGATAGAGATCTTGGTAGTGCTGTGGGCCTATGTGGCGTTACATTTATTTACTGCAATTTTTGATTACTTGCTGTGCTTTTCAAACACCAGGCTTGTTTAAATTCCAATTCATCTAAACTTATCAAAGATAATTATGTGCTTCTGGAATACCATAGCAGTATGTTGGACAATTGACGCTGAAAGAGAAGCCCAGAGATCAACCAAGGCAACATGAAGCATTATAATTTAAAGTATATTCTCCCAAGGACAAGAAAAATAGGAATAGGCTGCTGTGTATGCCAGTATCAAAAATACCTCTTCTTAACCCCATTAATAGGTGTGAGTTTTTTTAGTTCTCATATCAGTTATGAATTAAATTTAAAAATAAGAGAAAGAAAAAAAAACCACCATTGGCTTCAGCACCTGCCATAGTCCCAAAATTTGATGAGAATATAATTAGAGAGAGAGAGAGAGAGAGTGTGTGTGTGTGTGTGTGTGTGTGTGTGTGTGTGTGTGTGTGTGTGCGCCTGTTTTGGAACATGAACTCAGCCTGGGTGCTGTGGCTAGTGCTCTACCACTTGAGCCACAACTCCACTTCTGGCTTTTTTTGTGGTTAGAGTCTCACAGACTTTTCTGCCTGAGCTGGCTTCAAACTGTGATCCTCAAATGTCAGCCTCCTTTGTAGGTAGGATTACAGATGTGAACCACTGGCCCCCAGCTAGACTTGATTTTTGAGAGAGCATTTGTTATTCTCCAAATCATTGTTTCATCTAGTAGATTAAACTCAGCAATCTCAGCTTGTTTATTTGTAAAACAGCATGAATTTATATAATCATTTCATTTGCATTTCTTACAAAATGGAAAGTAAAGCAAAAATCCAGAAATGGATTTACCAAATGTTATAATCAAATGGGCAGTCCCAGTAGCCATCCTGCCATCCCTGGGTGCACTTGGACAGGTACATGGACAGGCCCAAATGCAGGTCCACAGAGCTGATTCTGTTCTGTTCTGTGGTCCTCTTGAAGCCAAGGCTCGTGTTAGCCATTTTGCCGTATGCAGCACTGAGTTCTGGACTGACTTTAAATATTTGGGGGAAGAGGGAATGTGAAGAGTCAGGGCTATAGCCACTGCCTTAGATGGCCCATTAGAGAGGCTTCCCTGCCACAACTCAAAGTTTACAGGGCAGCACTAGCACAAAGGTGGGTAGGAAGTTTTGCCAGAGGTGAGGCTGAGCCCTTCTCAGACTCATGACCAGTTACTTCCATTTGTCTATGTTCAGAAAAGAGAATCTGCCCTGTCACCAGCTCTAAGAAGGATACTCTCTCTTCTAGGCTCTCTAAAGCACCTACTCCCACTGTTGACAATATCCTGCCCTATTCTTCAACTCCTTTTGCTTTCTTTAAAAAAACTTTTTTCAGCTGGGCACTGGTGGCTCACATCTGTAATTCTAGCTACTCAGGAGGCTGAGACCTGAGGATCGCAGTTCAAAGCCAGCCTAGGCAGGAAAGTCCGTGAGACTCTTACCTCCAATTAACCACCAGAAAACTGGAAGTGGTGCTGTGGCTCAAGTGGTACAGACCTAGTCTTGAACTGAAGAACTCAGGGACAGAGCCCAGGCCCAGAGTTCAAGCCCCACGACCAACCAAAAAGAATTCTAACCTTTAAGTAGTTGTACAAAGGAGTTTCAAGTCAACATGTCAGTTTAGAGTAAAATGCATCTTGACCAATGTGACCCATCCATGGTTCCCCATCCCTTTCTACCCAACAACATATCTTTCAGCTTCTTGATACTCATTTTGTTAACTGTAGGTTGTTCAAAGATCAACTCCTGCTTCTAATGGATCACAGCTCCCATAACTTCCGCTAGGTTTTTCTAGTATCTAGTGTCTTTTTTTTTTTTTTATCAGTCCTGGGGCTTGAACTCTGGGCCTGAGCACTGTCACTGAACCCTTCAGCTCAAGGCAAGCATACTCTACCACTTGAGCCACAGCACTACTTCGGATTTTCTGGTGGTTAATTAGAGATAAGAGTTTCATGAACTTTTCTGCCCAGGCTGGCTTTGAACCATGATCCTCAGATCTCAGCCTCCTGAGTAGCTAGGATTACAGGCATGAGCCACCAGCACCTGGCTGTATCTAGTGTCTTTGCAGTGTGGGCTTCTGTTAGCTGTCAGGGAACCACTGGTGGTATAGAGTATGGTACCACATGAGCACAGCCTGGCAGTGAAGATGAGGCCTTTGGAGATGTCATGTTTGTACATGGGCTTTGCAGTTTGCATCCTGACTCTCTACGCCTGTATCAGTAGAATAAGTATTGTTGGTGCTAGGAATTCAGTTGCTTATCCAGAATTCCTTTTTTTTTTCAACTTTTATTTTTATTTTTTATTTATTGTCAGTCATGGGGCTTGAACTCAGGGTGTAAGTGCCGTCCCTGAGCTTTTCTGCTTAAGGCTAGCACTCTACCACTTTGAGCCACAGCATCACTTCTGGTTTTCTGGTGTTTTATTGGAGATAAGAGTCTCATGGACTTTCCTGCCTGACTGGCTTTGAACAATGATCCTCAGATCTCAGACTCCTGAGTAGCTAGGATTATAGATGTGAGCCACCTGTGCCTGGCTAATTTTTTTTTACTGTTATTACAAAGGTGTTGTACAGAGAGATTACAGTTTTGTAAGGCCCTGAGTTCTTTAAAGGAAGATTTAGTCCAACATACTTATTGCCAGGGGTATGCACTGTCAAGATTTTCACCACCCTTCCCTGCACCCCTTGGGAAGATTTTACCCAACTTTGTCACCCTGTAATTTAAACATATACACTTGAATATCGGGGGTGCCATATGTGTCATGGGAAACTTGGCACCCAAGAAAAGTCAGATGATGTAAGGGTCCCTTGGAAGCAGCTAACACACTTCTTCTTTCCTTCCAAGGAGCATTTCCTTCCATTGAAGAGATCCCCGAAAATGTGGTTCATGACCATGAGAAGAATGGCCTTCCTCGTCTGTCTTCCTACAGCAAAGCAGGAATTCAGAAGCGGTAAGAGCAACTTTCTCAAAAGGGAGACATGATTTTTTAAAAACCTCTGAAGAAAGTCTGGCAAAACCCCAGGCTCAGTTTGTACTTGCTGCATATTCTAAATTGCTCTGAGGACCACTGGGGGCTGCTGGTTTGTGTTGACAAGGAGCCCAGTGTGTGCTTAGTATTCAGTGCTTTGAAGCTCTCCAGTCCTCATGAGAATTTGAAGACTTTAGCTTTACTGTCCTGCAATCCACTAAATTTTTCCTTCTCTCCCTCCAGCCCTGAGGACTGAACTTAGGGCCTGGGGACTCTCCTTTAGCCTTTTCATTCAAGGCTGGAGTTCTACCACTTCAGTCATACCTCTACTTCCACTTTGTGGGTGGTTATTTGGAGATAGGAGTCTCATGGACTTTTCTGCCCAGGTTAGCTTCAAACCTTGGTCCTCAGATCTCAGCCTCCTAAGTAGCTAGAATTCCAGGTGTAAGACACTGGCTTAATGTAATCTTATTAATGGAAATGAATGGTCACTTCCTTGTGCTTTAGTTTTATTCGTTTTTATGGATTCCTTACTGAATAAGGTATTTCTTCATAAGAAAGGAGTATGGATTGTGGGGAACTCCACTAAGTGTCTGACTTTTTCCCCCAAGGCATGTGCCTACTTCTCCAGGTATGGCATAGGCAGGCAGGCACAACCCTCCCTGATTATAGCAATGAATGGGAAAGTGGTCCCATAGCGCCTGGTGTAAAGGAATGAGTGTGTGTAGCACCTCAAGCAGGTCACCAGCTGGGCCTTGCCTTCTCCTACTTTCAGTCTTCCCAGCTGTACAAACCACTGCTAGGAAGCCTCCTACTGGGAAGCCTGCTTCCCTCTGCCCAGAGCTGTCATAAGACTGTGAGTCAGGACTGGCAGATATTCTAGCTATTCTGGAAGCTGAGAACTGAGGATCAAGATTATAAGCCAGCCCGGGCAGAAAAGTCTGTGAGGTATTTATCCCCAGTTAGCAAAAAGCCAGAAGTGGAGGTATGGCTCAAGTGGTAGAACACCAGTCTTGAGCAAAAAAGCCTCTTCCTGGCAATTTTCACTTGGAATTCTAACGTTATGCCTTTAAAGTAGTTTTCTCTAGTGTTAGTTCATCTTGATGTCAATGGTTTTCTGACCCAGAATAAAATTTCTCAAAGTTCTTGAAATCTTGAATTAATTCAAATAAAGCAAAACTTTGATTAAACAGTCTTCACAGTAATCCCCTAAGATGCCTGTATCCTTTACAGTTGATTTCTCCCAGCCTCTATTTCCTCACCCATGAAAATGTTGCTAACAGAGTCAGGGCACAGGACCTTTAAGGGGATTAAGGAAGGCTGTGTAGGATTCACCATGGCAGGGTCCTACTACAGTACTCTTTTCTCTCTCATACTTTCAGAGGATCCTCCTCCAAGTGGATCAAGTTAACTTCTCTTTGCTTTATCTTCCCCCTCCCCTCCAGGTTGAAAACATACTTCAAGTTTCTTATTGTAAGAGATCCTTTTGAAAGACTGATTTCTGCATTTAAGGACAAGTTTGTACACAATCCCCGGTTTGAGCCATGGTACAGGCATGATATTGCTCCTGGCATCATCAGGAAATACAGGAAGAACCGAACAGAAACCCGGGGGATCCAATTTGAAGATTTTGTGCGCTACCTCGGTGATCCAAACCACAGACGGCTAGACCTTCAGTTTGGGGACCACATCATCCACTGGGTGACGTATGTAGAGCTTTGCGCACCCTGTGAGATAAAGTACAGTGTGATTGGACATCATGAGACTTTGGAGGAGGATGCCCCATATATCCTGAGGGAGGCCGGCATAGACCACCTGGTGTCCTATCCAACCATCCCTCCAGGCATTACCGTGTATAATAAAACCAAGGTGGAACACTACTTCCTGGGCATCAGCAAACGAGACATTCGACGCCTATATGCACGTTTTGAAGGGGACTTTAAGCTGTTTGGGTATCAGAAACCAGATTTTTTGCTAAATTAATGCATAGGACCTATGAATCTAGTTTGTTAATCCAGGGGCTAACCAGGTGGAGATCTGAGTACAGAAATGACACTCGCTCTGTCACACCCCTCCTTAAGCCCCTCTAAGGTCTCCTGGGGTCCAGTGAGCAGAAGGTACTAGATCCAGATTGCTTAGCTTGGATGTAAGGTGCCTTTTCCTCCGTGGAAGGGGGGAAGACAGATATGGTCATGGTCAACTGGATTTGAGAAGCATAGCACAGCCTTAGGGCTGCTTCCCTCTGCTGTTACTAGCATTGACACTAAAGCACTCCTGTCTGGCTGAGGAGGTGTCACCTATGCCACATGATGGCAGGAATGACACCTTGAAGAGGGTTAGAAAAGTTAAGGGACTGCCAAAGTCACCAAGGCCCATGCAGGATCCATCTGAGTTACAAAAAGGACTCCTTGCCTTTTGTCTCTACTTTAACCATGCAGGCAAATCAGACTTCTGTGACCATTGAGTTCTCATGGTGTTTGCTGATGACTGCAGAATGGTTCCAGAGGTTCATCATTCGAGAACCCATGCCTGGGCAATGCTAGCCTATGTTTCAGAATCTTCCCACCACATGCCTATATCATGTAGCATAGGACATAGAATTTTAGAAAGTAAGGGGAGTGTAAATTCTACCTGAGGAGAACACCTTTAATGTAACATGGTAGAAGAGGTACTGGCAGGGCAGGGAGTGGATTGAGTACCTCCATTTTGACCCATCTGTCTTGTCTTTGACCATCCAATCTGGATGGTTCTCCACCTACTCCCTCAACAGCCTGCACTATCCTCAGAAAAGAGACCAGACAAATGGACCAACTAGGAGAAAACTGCACACAGACTATCGGGCAATATGCCAGCATACAGAACTCAGTGCTGCTTATACATTTTCACTTTCATCTCAGCAGACCCATTTCTGATACTCCACCATTCTGGACTGAATGGCTAGAAGTTGGATAACCAAGTTCACCAGCAATAAAATCCTAGGCCGAGGCAGCCTCCAAGAACAAGTCTTCCAGGCCCCAGTGAGAATCAAGCCACGATGACCATTTCAGATGCCCTCTAGCCAGTTCCCTGAGTGAGTCCCTTGATCTCACATCTACATTGTCAACCAACCTAGCACTGCTATGAATGAGCCAGCTTTTTTTTTTTAAGGTAGCCTCAACCTTCCTATTCCCAAAAAGGCTTCCTGAATTTATGAATATGAAAGTCAAAAGAAATTTACAATATGTGCCAAATGTGACCTGTGTTACAGTCCCAGGGGAAATGCTCGGGGGCCTTGTGTGACTCCTGAGGCCTGGACAAGAACACAATCATGGACAGAAGTGAGGCTCACCTCTCCATTCTCAACTGACAAACCAAGGATGTAACACTGAGTTATTTTTCTACACAGAGTTTTAGCAAAACCTTTTTAAAAATCATTTCATACCTAATGAGCTGATTGTCTCTTTCCTCTTTGAAAAGTAACAGTGCATATTGTATATGAATTTAAGGCCTTAAGGTTAGCCCTAATTAAAATGGCATTTTCTCTCAGAAACAAAAGATTGCCTATGTGATTAATATGGTTTCCCCTCCCCATTGGCATTTAGGTGATTTTTCTAACATATTATTGCCAAAAAGCAGAGATACTGTTTTCAAAATAGCTCTTGGACATGGCACAGTATACCTGGGACTAGCCACCTCCACCCACGTGGCCTTCAACCCCACACCTCACCCTTCCACCAAGGACCTAGAAGTCCCTTTTGATACTTTCAGAATCACCTTCCTCTTAGCCTTAAAGGAAGCAATATTCTGTCTCCTAGTCACTATCACACTGTTTCAACTTCCTTGATTTTCTCCCCCTACTTCTGCCCCAACAGAGCTTTTCTGCCACAAACCTGGCCTTGTCTTTCCAGGCAGTCCATTCTTTGGGTTTGGTGTTCTAATCTCACTGAAGCAGCAGACCGATTGGGGGCCCTGTCCCTTTGGCTTGGCTCTTTATCTGCTCTAGAGGCTGCTCATTGGTTTTCAGGACCTGCTCTCTGAAACAGGAGTCAGCCTGGCCCCTTCGCAGGGCCCCTCTAAGCCTGCAAGAGGAGCAGCTTTGATGATCTCCGGGCTATCTTTAGGTCCTGCTTAGCATAGTGAGTATATGTACAATCTGCCTGTCCATCTCATTTTCTGTCTCTCTCATGCTAGGTCACACTTTCTTCTGGTGTTAATCCCATCTCTGTTCCCCGCTTCTGTTGGATGATTGAGCTAGGACCATGGTTCCTACCCACACCAGTCCTTGTATCAGATGCCCTCTGCTAGACAAACCCTTGCTATTTTCTCTGCATTTGTTTCTCCATTTTTATAATATGGATAGACAGAATTTTCTAAATCATATTTTCTTTGGGGAGAGGAACCTCCCCCCCCCTCCTCCCCGGCCCCGGACTACTTCACCCAGACTAGTTGGAACTTATTATATAGCCTACGCTGCCCTCAATACTCTTGATCCACCCACCCAGAATTAATAGGCATGAATCAATTACAAAACCTGGCATACCAAAATCATTAGGTACTGATTCCTTTTTGCTTAATAATTCAAGCTTGAATTCATTTTTCTCTCCACATTTTACTATAGATAAACCTCAGCTTGCTATGGTTATTTACTGAGAAAGTCATAAGTTCAGAATGTAAGTTGAAATGCACTTAATACACCTAACCTAACCACGTCATAGCTTACTATAGAGTAACAATTCTGGCATTTCCATTAATGGCATCTTTCACTGAGCTTACTTTAAAAAGGTCAAATAGCCAGGTGTCAGTGGCTCACACCTGTAATCCTAGCTACTCGGGAGGCTAAGATTTGAGGATCGAGGTTCGAAGCCAGCCCAGGCAGGAAAATCCAAAAGATTCTTTATCTCCAATAAACTACTCAGAGAAAGACGGAAGTGGTACTATAGCTCAAGTGGTAGAACACTAGTCTTGAACACAAAGAAGTTCAGGGACAGTGCCCAGCCCCATAGTTCAAGCCCCAGGACCACCAAAAAAAGAAATGACAATACAGAAAACTATAAGTAGTTCTTGAAGACAAAAACATTAAGGGCTTTGGGCCTATATAGAATTGTAGATTTGCTCTGCTGCTTCTTCTAAGTATAAGTTAAGGGGGACAACTCCCCCTTGTTTCTCCATACATCCCCTCCAAACTGTCTCTTAGTGGAAGTTTCTTGGCCAGCTTCATTTTTCCATCGTCTTCTCAGGGGCACTGTCTCCTGATAAATCCTCGCTCCCATTTGTAAATTGACCTTAAGGAAGGTAGTCAGGATTTTCAGAAGTCAATGATGCTAGCACTTCAGAGGTGGTGGCAGGAGTCATGAATTCAAAGCCAGCGTGAACTACATAGGGAGACCCTATATCAAAATACAAGAACTGGTAGGGAGAGGGGGAGGGAAGAGTTGGGGAAGTGGGGAGGGAAGGGATGGTAGGGGAAACACGAGGTAACAATGCTTGATAGGAAATGTACTCATTACCCTACTCATGTAACTGTAACCCCTCTGTACAGTATTTTGACAATAAAAAAATATGGAAAAAAAAACAAGAAGTGGGGATGTAGACCAGTAGTAGAGTACTTGTTTAGAATGTGCAGAACCTTGGATTCCATCCCCAGGAAAGCAAAAGTAAAATAAAAAAGCTTATAATGATGACAGTTACAAAACACCACTGTGCAGAGGTTAGCTTCAGGATTATGGGGGCACATTTTCTCTGCTGAAGAGCAGATAGAAAATAGGAAAACAAACCCAAGTCTACAGAGAGATTGCTGAGACTCTGGGCTATTAAAATGGAGATTTTGGCTTTGTTGTCTTTAAAAAAAATCATAAGCTATAAAAACAATGCAAAGCTTCCATTCTTAAAAGGTAATTCTTAGCAAAAGACTGTTAAAGCCTGCAAGAGTTTGTTGATGGTAAGGGTGATGGTTTAATGTACATCTGGAAGCTCATTAGCCAAAAAGCCAAGCAATAACATGAGCCCTACATTCAAGCCCCAATACCAGCACAAAAGAATTTTTAGAAAAGAAAAATCTGTGTGATCTATACATTGGCTATTTCAGCACAGATCATTTGAGGTATTTGCTTCCTATGTAGGGAAGTCACAACATCCTGCTGATTCTGGCTTTGAGATGTCAAAGGCTTCAAAATTGCATGTGGGAAGTTGGGCACCGGAAGCTCACATGTAATCCTTGCTAGCTATTCAGGTTTGAGGATGGTGGTTTGAAGCCAGCCCAGTCAAGAAATATCCATGAGACTGTTAACTCCAATTAACTACCAAAAGGCTGGATGTGGTAGTGCACCTAGCATCAAGAACAAAAAAACAGCTAAGGAACTGTACCCAGGCCCTGTGTTTGAGCCCCAGAACTGGTAAGCGCATGTGCGTGCGTACGTACACAAACACACACACACACACACACACACACATGGGAATCACATGCTTGTGAGTTTGTTCACCTTGTTGGATGCTGGGTTTAATGCAAGGAGTAAAGGGCAGAAAGGAGTATGACGAAGAAACCTGGGTGCTGGTAACAGGAAGGGGTGTACATGCAACATCAATATGGGCAGGATTGGTTCAGGTCTACTTTGCAGTGTGCTTGATTGCTTACCAGATGACTCTGGAGAATTAAAACCAAGATCCAGGATGTCTATAAACTGAGATGCACATTTATAAATGATTCATGAAGACTTATAAGGGCATTATGAAAGAATTTGTTGAGAACTTTCCATTGCAGTCTTATATATGTTCAGGTTTAGCACATTCTGAAAGGAAATAAAGTCTGGCCACCAAACTTTTGTTCAATCAGTAGTGTCATTACCACTCAGCCAATATTCCATGAACACTAATGAGGCCCATTTCTGGCCTCAAGTTCTGGTCATTTCACAGATAAATCCACACCCCCAGTGTACAGCATATCTTTGTTACAGATGGTTGAAATATTTCCCATAGATTATTATTTTACATTATTTATTTTTGTCAGTCATGGGGTATGAACTCAGGGCCTGGGCATTGTCCCTGAGCTCTTTCGCTCAAGGCTAGTGCTCTACCACTTTAAGCCACAGTGCCACTTCTAGTTTTCTGATGGTTAATTGGAGATGAGTCTCACAAACTTTCCTGCCCTGGCTGGCTTTGAAAGGTGATTCTCAAATCTCAGCCTCCTGAGTAGCTAGGACTACAGGTGTGAGCCACCAGCTCCTGGCCCATAGATTATTTTTATGCTCTGTGAATCCTATAAAGTCTGCACCTGATTTTTATAATGATCTGCTGAAGCCCAGTCTGTAAGGGCAGTGTTCAGTGTTGGTAGCCATGACAACCACCTTCATATTCTCATCCATGTTTCAGCTTTGATGCTTAGAGAGTCCTGCTTGTTTGGACATCAACAGGTTTTCTTGATAAAATTACAACATAAATACAGTTGTGAAAATTCAAAGCCTACTCAGTACCTTGTCTGAGCTGCTACCTTGGCATCTATCAGATAGATGATATTTAGATCTGAAAGGTACCCCAAAGATTTTGTCTTAACGGCAGTATTGAGTAGTGGATCATGGGGGCACTGTCCTCATCAATGGATTAGGTCCATGAACGAGAGCTTTGTTATTACAGGTCTTTCTCTCACTTGGCTTCCTTTCTGCCAAGAAGTGAGCACCTTTCTTCTATCACCTGTCTCTACCAGGAAGGATTGCCTCACCCTGTGTTTGCCCTGGAGTATACCTAGGTGTCTTGAGATGTTATGCTACAAAAACTAATATTCCTTCAAATTTTTGTGTTAGAAGGTAATAAAGGTTGAAATTGCACTAAGATGCCTTATAAATAAATCTGTAACATTTAATAAGGAAGGTGAGATGTTTTGGTTTTCTTCTTCACTTTGGGGTTGATAAGTAGATGCTTAGAGGTTTTCCAAAACATTTAGTGCACCTGTCTGAGTGAGAAGGGTGCATAGCATGATATTTGCTATCACTACATCAATAACTACCTTTTTGTAGTACTCAGTAGGCAATGACTTTCCTAAAACACTGTTCCTGCACTTAGCCCTAGCAACAAGTATACTTGCCTTTTATCTAAGTGCACAATGGTGCTGTCTTGTGTTGTGTTTGTGGTTCATTATGATCCCCCTTATCGCAAATAGAAGAGATTCTCAATTATATCTTAGTTTATCTTACTCCTTTTTCCATGTGCTATCCTTCACTGGCTCCCATACTTGCTATTTTTTCTTCTGGGAATTTATTCCCACAACTTTTTTTTTTAAGTGATGGACTTAGAGGAGAAAAAGAATTTAAAATTATAAACAACTATAATGAATGAAGTGGGGGAGGGGAGAGGATGTAGTCAGGATTCAATGTATATCCTACAAAATTAAGAAAAGTGCTGGGCACTGGTGGCTTACACCTACAATCCTAGCTACTCAGGAGGCAGAGATCTGAGGATTGCAGTTCAAAGGCAGCCCAGGCTGAAATATCCCAGTGAAACTCTTATCTCCAACTAACCACTAGAAAAGTGGAAGTAACACGGTGGCTCAGAGTGGTAGAATGCTAGCCTTGAGCGATGAGCTCAGGAACAGTACCCAGGCCCTGAGTTCAAGCCCCAGAACTGACAAAAGAAAAAAACAAATTAAGAAAATTAAGGAATTAAGAAAATTAAGGAGCTGGGAAGGAGGCTCAGTGGTAGAGTGCTTGCCTTGGATGGTTGAGGCCCTGGGTTTGATTCCTCAGCACCAAATAAGCAGGAAAAGCTGCAAGTGTAGCTATGGCTCAAGTGGTAGAGTGCTAGCCTTGAGCTGAAAAGCTGAGGGACAGCGCCCAGGCCCAGAGTTCAGGCCCCATGACCGGCAAAAAAAAAAAAAAAAGAATTAAGAAAATTAAGAAACTAAGAAAATTAAAGGAAGGCCTGGGTTAGGAGGGATGGGTTAGAATACTGAATGGAGTTACATTTATCAAGATGCATTACACTCATAAACTGTTTTGTTGAACTGCTTTGTACAACTACTTAAAGATTATAATAAAAACTTATAAACAGGTATGAGATTACCAACTGACAAGTGGGGATAGATGATCATATTAGTTTTCAAAGCATTTCATTATCTTTTCTACCACATCGATGGGTTTGGGGGCTTTTGCCTCTCACTAGCTTAGCCACAGTAATGATTAATTGTACATCTGTGTTCTCCAGCACATCTTTTACCAATGACCACTGAATAGAAGCTTTTGATGTTAATGCTTCACTCATATGAGGCCGGGGCCTTCCTGGCTCTTACTCTTCTGGTATATGTGTATATGGTTGAATATCTATTTGGCTCAACCTGTAGGTTTATACAACCTACAACTTGAGAAACACTTTTTGTAACCAAAACTCCTCTCAATTTTCTTCCATCTTTTTTTTCTGCTTCCCTTCTA